AGCCTGGCCGAGATGCATCTTGAAGGGTAAAAGAAAGTGGAAGGTGGATACTGGTTTTTTTTTTTTTTTTCCTACTCTAAATCTTCACTTTCTTCCACTAACAAATTATCTTTCCTATAGGAATCTCATACTTTCTGATTCAGGCTATAGATGGTCACTTTATTTAACAAGGAAAAAGCCAATTTTAGAAATGGGGGCTGGCAGGTGGTATGGTGGTTGTGATGCTGAACTCCCACATGGCCCACGGTGGTTCAAGTCTCAGACCTGGTGACTTGCTTTCTCACTTTTCTTTTCTCTCTCTCTCTCTGTCTCTGGTCGAATTAAAACAAAAACAAATAATAATAACAAAGTTAAATAAATAAAAAAATTCTGGAATTCTTGTTAAATTAGTTGAACTTGGGACCAGCAGATGATATAATGGTTATGTTGCTGGACTCCCACATAGTTGAGCATGGTTCAAGTCCTGGACCTGGCAACTTACAACTCACGCCAAAATACTGAGAGAATGAAGGAGAAGAGATTGCGGCATGGCCATCCCACCATGGGGTGATTCTCGCTTTCTGCCTGTGCCTTTCTCTGTCCTCTTGTGAGCCCATGAAACCTATCGCAAAAAAATCTCTTAAAAAAATTAGTTGAATTTAATTTTCTGCATTTGTAGAGAGATCAATGAAAGAGAGAGAGAGACTGATCTGGTGAGGATAGGGATATTTTTACTCAATGATATTTTTCTACATGTTCTCTAAAGTTCAAGACACACTAAGTCTCCTTGAAACTAGAACTGAGGTGACAGAGAAAGAGTGGTGCCCCTGCATACACCTCCCTGCTGTCCCTGCCCCTGGCTCTAAGTGTGGAACATGAGTCTTGAGACAGACAGGGTGCATGTTCATAAGATGGCCCTGGCACAAATGAGGTTTTAATAGAATATCTAAAGATTTTTGTTTTGTTTGTGTTTTGTGTCATTTTGTCATTGTTGGTTTTTAATCATTTGATGTGGAGAATTTGAAGGGATGATTTGGGAAGGGTTGTGTCAGATGTGTCTATAGGGGTGACTTTGGTTGTGTTGGAAGATGATATGATACGGGAGGTTGCTTTTAAAATTCCTCTGGAGAACAGATTTTCCTAGTGTTCTTCCTTCCTTCCTCCCATTTTTCCTTAGTTCCATCTTCCCCCCACTTCTTCCCTTCTTTCTTTTCTTCCTTCCTCTCTCTCTCTCACTCTCTTTCTCTCTCTCTCCCTTGTTCCCCCCTCCATAGTCTCTTTCTCTCTCCTCTCTCTTTCTTATTGGACTTTCTTAAACATTTTTTCTCTTTCCTTACGACCTGGATCTCAATATTGCTGTTCATCCATCTTCCTTAACCTGCTTCTCCTAATTCCAGTTAAGGTAGAAACGTCACAGGTATCTGAACTGAATTTGAAGCGGTAGTAAAGAAGTACAAAGGAAGCAGACTCGATTGAGTTAAGAGGTTAACCTTTTAAAACTATGATTCCTGTTTTTGATCCTCCCCCTTGGAGAACAGAGGAGCCCAGAGAGGCCCTTACCTAAGCAAATCACTCCGGCATCCTCCGCATGATCACAGTTATGCTTTCCCCATCCTTGGTGTTTGCAGTTCCAGAGAGCTGACTCATTTCCATTGCATACAAGGTCATCAAACCAGATTGGTCCAGAACCTTCTCCAAAATTAGCTGAACCCGAGAAACTGACAGCACTTCCACACCCCAGTTGTTTACAGACCACAGTGGCATGGTCTATGTTGAAGTTATCATCGCACACTGTCCCCCACCGTCCTTGGAATTTCACCTCTATTCTTCCCAAACACCGGTTTCCTGCATTCATCAATCTCATCTCCAAATCCGATCCATCTAGGGCAGAAAAATGGCAACAGTTCAGAAGTGATATTCATTCAGAAATGATCTTAGAAAACAAGACTTTTCTGGCTACTTGAGATTTGATGCTCTGTTTAAAACAGTGCCTGATTTTGGATACTGCCCGGATTTCAATCTGTTAAAAGCAAGTTGACAGGGGCCGGCAGGTGGTGTGGTGGTTAAGGTGCTGGATTCCTACATGGCCAGCCATGGTTTGAGTCCCAGACCTGGTGGCTTGCTTTCTCACTTTCTCTTTCTCTCTCTGGTCAAATTAAAAAAAATAAAAACAAAATAAATTAAATAAATAATTATTTAAAGAAAACAAGTTGACAATTTAGGATTTTCATCTACATCTATTTACTAAGGAAAATGTTTTACAAATGAAAAGTTTTTAAACTTGCTGTTTTGTTTTCTTCTGTTGCTGGGGTAGAAATAAACACTTTCATGTAGTAATAGATTTATTTACCTAAATTATCAAATTATTTAAAAAACTAGAAAAAAATATTGGTCTACACAACAAAGTAGCAAAAATGATAAATTGATTACTTATAGAACATTAAAAATCTTTATTTTAACTTCTCTTTATTATGAACAGTTCGGTGTATGAATAATTGATTGAAATTGAATTTGAAGTTAGTAGAAAGAAATTAAGATAGAAATGTATAAGCATCATAATAATTTCTAAAAGAACTCTTGTTATACTGAATTCTGAAAAATTGAGTGAAAAAAATAAGCAAGATAATTAATTCCTTACTAATTTCCTATTTGAATCAAAGCTTTTTTTCCATCTCAAAGTACTATTTTTTTTTGCAACAAACGTATTTTTCATAAATAAATTTCTTTCTATGCAGTATCTCATAGATTTCTTATGAAGACAAAAATACCTGAGAGGAGATTTTTGGATGATATTTTGGGACAAAAATTCAAAGTTAACAAAAACTTTTGGTGCTTGAATCAAATGTTTAGAAACTCTTTATTGAAAAAAAAAATTCAATTTTAAAAGCTCTAAGCTCCTAGCAGACTTTTACTTAAGATTTTTAAAAATTATGAACAACTAATAACAGTTAATAAGAGCTCACAATCAAAATATGCATATGTTATTCTAAAGGTATCATACATACTATCTTCTTTAGTTTTCATGTTAAGTATTGTATATAATAATGTTTTAATAAACACATTTATTAATAATGTATTAATAAAATCATGTATTAATATTTAAGTATTATTTAAATGGAAATATTACAAACTATTGTTATTATTCCCATCTCACTGATAAGCGATTTGAGGCTAAATAATTGGTACAAATTCAAACATCTAGAAAATGGTAGAGCCAGAATTTGGAAAAAATCTAGTCTAGCATCAGTCTCCACGATTCTCTTTATTAGGCTATTGTCTCAGTGCACGTGGTAACAAACTCCCGAGAGAGAGAGAGAGAGAGAGAGAGAGAGAGAGAGAACGGCTCTGAGGACTGAGCGTTAATTAGGGTAGAGAATCTCAGAAATGCACACTCTGGAGCCCCCTAGCACTCCATAGTCCTTGAGTAGCTACAGACTTTTCTCTATTATTGTGTTCCAGCTGGATTTTACGTGTAGAAACTTCAAAAAGCAAGTTTGAGCAACTCTGTCCTTAGTTATGAAAAACAGAACAAGAGCCAAAAGTACCACGCTAGTGATTTAACTGAAGAAGTCAACTGTTTTGTAAACAGCAGTTATTGCGGCAAGAGCCTGATAAGACTTCCATGATTTTAAGCTGTGTAAATGTTACTTTCGCTATTCTTATCTTTCCCACATAATAATTAATTAATAACAAGAGGAAAAGAGAAGGAAGTGGGTGGGGGAGGAGGAACAGGAGGAAGCCAAGAGGAATAAGAAAGAGATCGGAATCTTAAGGTAATGGGAGGAAGGGAGCCCCAGGAAAAACATTTTCGACACCTATCACCCAGGAAACGATGTCTAAGTAGCTTTACATATTAGATCGTGGAACTCCTCAGGAACTGAAGTTTAAAGAGATTTAACATTTTGAACAAAATCGTAGCATTAATCAATGACCGTTCTAGAATCGAATCTAGTATTTTTCTAGATTCGGGCCCATGTGTTTTCACTGTGCCATGATGCCTGCTTAGAGATCGGGTCTTTTTACAGTCGGTGGTATGCAATGTATGATCCCCAAGGAAAGGCTGGGAGGTGAGAAATTTGCTTAAGGGTTAATGAAATGAGCAAGGAGAAGTGGAAAGCGCAGGAATCTGAATCGGGTCGGAAATGTGACCTCAGGATTTGCCATCGGAAATCCTTGATGCATAACTTCCTGTATAATCGTGAGGTCCACTGACATAGAACTTATACAAATTTAGTAACTCCAAACTACAATTTAAGTGAACAACATAGTGCTTTGGAAAAAGCTATTATACTTTCAAAACATCTTTCCTCCGACAACGAAGGACACATTAGTGGGGGAATGTTTGTTTCTTGAGCCACAGAAGTCAGTTAATGGACAGAGCAGATGATTCGTGGGTCAGTACGTCAAAGGAACATGTCACTGGGAAAGTGGACAAGGGAATAACTTAAATACTATGACATTTTTATGGAGGAGGAGGTGATAGTAAGATTATTAAATATAAAATTGATACCAGTCACTTCTCACAGTGTTGAGGGACTCTTTTGACCTTTTTTTGGTTATTATTATTTTTTATTAGTATCATTACTTTTTAGTTCTTACCGTAGGGCACGTGAGCTTGCTGGAGAGAGCAGAGGGAGAGAGTAAAAGAGAAAGTGAGTAATCTGTCCCTGGGGGGAATGGCCACACTGTAATCGTTTCTCCTTCATTCTCCTGGGATTCTGGACACACATGCACATGTGCCCAGTGTGATTTTTCCAGCCACCGGATCTGAGACTTGAACTGTGGTTGGCTATGTGGAAGTCCAGTGCTTTAATTACCATGCCACCTGTTGACCCCTTACTTTTATTTTTAAAGTATAGACATTGTTGTGTATTTTCTGGTCTGTAAGCAATAGGTTGGGTAATTTTTTTATTTTTTTTTATTTTTTTTTATGAGGGCTACATCAGCCATCCCCAACTTTTTTGGCACCAGGGACCAGTTTCATGGAAGGTAACTTTTCTGCAGGGATGTGTGTGTGTGAGTGCATGTGTGTGTAATAGTTTATGAGATGCTCAACCTAGACCCCTCGCATGTGCAGTTCACAATAGGCTATGCATTCCTATGAGAACCTAACGCTGCCACCGATCTGACAGGAGGTGGAGCTAAGGTGGTAATTTGAGTGATGAGAGAGGTTGTAAATACAGGTGAAGCTTTGCTGGCTTTTCCACTGCTCACCTCCTGCCGTGTAGCCTGGTTCTTTTTCTTTTTTCGAGAGATTTTTGCTATAGAGAATGTGCGGTCACCAGAGAGACAGAGACAAACAGAGAGAGAGAAAGAGAGAAATCTCCCCTGAGGGGAATGGCCATGCCACAATCCCTTCTCTTCCACTCTCCTCTTGGGATTTTTGAGCATGCATGCACACGTGCCCGGTGTGAGGTGGCCTGGTTCTTAAGAGGCCACATCCCTGGCTTGGGGTTGGGAGCCCCTGGGCTAGATTACTTACGGAAAAGTGACTCATTTTAGCTTCGAGCCTACCTTCATCTATTTTCCCGCTCAGTATTTCATTTTGAGGCTTTGACTTACGCCAGTCTTACCTGAACAGGTCACACCGGCGTCTTGTTGGTGAGTGCAGTTGTGCTTTCCCCACCCGTCGTGTTTGCAATCCCAAAGAGCTGATTCATTCCCTTGACAAGAAACATGGTCCATCCAAATGCGTCCGGAGCCTGCTGTGAAATTAGCCCATCCGGTGGCCATGATGGCAGTTGGACATCCCAGCTGCCGACAGATCACAGAGACGGCCTCTGCCCCCCAGCCGCTACTGCAGACGGTCCCCCACTCCTCCTGGATTTTCACTTCCACTCTCCCACTGCAGTTGTTTTCACCAGCCGTGAGCCTCAGCTCCCTGTTGGTTTTTCCTGCTGTGAGTCAAGGCAGCAATTGGTCAAGGTCGTAAATGCAGACAGAAAATGACTATTTAGATGATTTATCCTTCAAAGTCTGATTTGAGAACCATCGTGGTCCCATCTGTGGCACAAGAGCAGAACGCTCTTTCACAGTCACTCAAACACAAGTATCAGTATCACAGGCTTCAAATGAAGCAATAACACACATCCAGGAAAGCTAAGTAATATCTTTATTTTATGACTGAATATTCCTTTTCAAGCTATTTTTACAACTTATTGTATTTATTATTATTATTTTTAAATTTGTTATTGGGCACCTGTGATCCCAAAGAGGGTGGGAAAGTGAGAAAGCAAGTTACTGGGTCTGGGACTCAAACTGTGGTCGGCCATGTGGGAGCCCAGTGCTTTAACCACCACATCATCTGCTGGCCCTGTGACTGGATATTCTTTATTTAATTTTATTTCTTCTTATTATTATTTAATTTGACTAGAGAGAGACTGTAAGTGAGAAAGCAAGCTGCCAGGACTTAAACTGTGGTTGGCCTCGTCGGAGTTCAGCACCTTAACTGCTACACTACCTGTTGGACCCTGGATATTCTCAATAGTGGCAATTTACATAATTTTCACGAAGAGTTTGCCAGTTAAATAAGATGCTGCAAAATGTTATAGGAATGAATTACATAAATTTCTCCAAATCAGCTTTAAAGAAAGTTGATAGGGGATTTTTGAGAATTTAAAAACCAGTTGTGGAGCTGGCAGGCGGCATGGTGGTTAAGGTGGCTGGACTTCCACATGACTGACCATGGTTCGAGTCCCAGACCTGGCAACTTGCTTTCTCATTTTCCTCTCTTTCTCTGTCTCTTGCTGCTCAACCTCAATAAAATAATAATAATAATAAAGTAAATAACGACAATGAATGAAAATGAAATAATTCTTTACCAAAACACACACACACACACACACACACACACACACACCCCAAACAAACCAGGAACTAACATGCCTTTCATACATCCATGTAATACAGTATGAATTTTAAAACCAATTGTTGAAATATGGCTGAAAATTAGCTACTTAACTGGAAATTGAAATGGAGCTAGTTCCCCTTCGTATTTTATCATAAGGTAATCTCCTTATGATAGGTGATTCTCCCTCCCAAATTATCTCAGCTGCTTTCTTAGCCATTATTTTAGCTTAATTTAGGAAGGTGGCAGTTCCAGCAGCTGGCCTTCCTTACTAAATTTTAAGATACATTTTGACATTTTAAATTTTTAAAATGTCCCCCAAATTCCTTTTAGTCCCAATAATTCTAAAGTTTCTGCTCTTCTACATACTTCCCAATTTTTTTTTGGGGGGGGGGAGAAGTTTTTGTTATAGAGCGTGTGCTCTTGCCAAAAAGACAGAGAGAGACAGAGAGACAGAAAGCAAGAAATCACCCCCCAGGGGGGATGACCACACTGCAATCCCTTCTCCTCCATTCTCCTCTCGGGATCTTGGGCACGCACACACACATGTACATACTCCCGGTGTGAGTTTAAGCCACCGGGTCCAGGACTCGAACTGCGGTCGACTACATGGGAATCCAGCGACACAGCCATTACGCTAACTGCTGGCCCCACATATTTCCCAATTTTTTAAGTAGACATTTTTCCAACCTTTAAGTAAAATGGATTTTTGCTGTGAGTTTTTGAGGAGGGACTTTACTAATATTTTGGTGCCACATGATTAAAGAGGCTTTTAATATCTGATCCTTTGAGCCATGAAGCATATTACCTAAGTCTGAGATGTCACTCAGCCTTCAGGAATATTGCTCTTTAATACTTCTTACAGAGTGGGCTGGGGCCACCAGTAAATTTGACGAAGTACTCACCAAGAGAACTGGTGATAAAACAGGCACTGAGAAGTGAAACCACAGCAATAGTGAAGGGACGCCAGTGGACAAAACATCTTTTATCTGTGGCAAAAAAAAAAAAAAAAAAAAAAAAAAAAAAAAAAAAAAAAAAAAAAAAAAAAAAAAAAAAAAAAAGAAAAAAAAGTGGAGTAAAGTCAAGTCTTTTAAAAAAGAGACTTTGGAGAACAGGGATGGTTTTCTAGATTTGGGGTTCCCAAAGAAGGTCAAACCAAGACAGGACACCTTATCTCTTATTCAATAAATGGCAAAGCCGACAGGAAAAACGAAATCCCAGAGTCATATTGTCTTGATGAAGTAGCTTTGAAGATGTTCATGTATATAGGCAATCCAGAGGTGCGGGAAAGAGGAAAGTTTGGGGTAGAAACGAGAATTGCAAGAGCAGGTCTGAAAATCTGGAAAACTGAAAAGGCGTCAGGGGAACTTAGGAGAGGGGCTCTCCCTGCAGGAGCAGGGTAGGTTTCTGAGATGTGTCTGCTCCCTTACCTCCTCAGTATTTAACTACTGATAGCCCTTTCCCCATGACTGCCTGATCTACAGTCTTAGACGATAAGTTCCAGGAAAGAATAAATGACATGTAGGTTCATTATGGTTTCAGCAGTACCCGTCAAAGTGCCTGCTTAAAAGTAGCTGAATTCCACTGGCAGAATAAAGTAATAATGTTTATATTTGTAAAACCTAAATAGCTGGTTTTGATCATCGTCACGTATAGCAGAAAACACTCGCTAAAGCTATTACCATGCTCACAAATCCTTGTCACTCTAACACGATGCTAATTTAAAAGTAAAAATATTGAATAATTCTAACATGTACCTGTAAGTCATGGAGTAGATTTTAGCACACAGAGATGTGATTCTAAATTTCCTCTAGGTAATCAACTTTCAATCAATATTCATTCTATGTATTCTATCTTTTCTAACAACTATTGTTTTCATATGCAATGCAGTTCCGTTAGCTTTAGTTCCTGATTTAATTTCATTAAGTAGTTCTAACAAAATTAATGTTGTCTTTCTCACTAGAGATACATTTTGACATTTTAACTTATTAACTAGCTCACATCTTCAATTTTCAAATCTATGGCAGATCAAAGGTGCCATCATATTGTTTCTATTCTTTTCTCTCCTTGTATCAATCACCTTTAAATCAAACCCAAATTCATTGACTGCCCATAATTCTATGCTCCATTAAAGAGTAGAATAAATGAAAATCTTTTACCAGCAGATCCAGAGACTTCAAATAGCACTCTTCTGAGCTTGTCCATTCCAAAGCTGTATAATTTTAGTGATTCCCAGATCTTCTTATATTATTCCATAGAAATGTTCTCCTAAAGAAGAGGACCACCACCAAGAATTCTTCACATCACCTCACTCTCAGAAGAATGGAAAGGCTATATAGTGGAGGTGGAGTCAACTCCAAAAGGGGAAGTCATTGAAAAAACTGAGGTTCCCTTTCATACTCATGTTTTCTTCATACGAGACATACAACAGGCAAAGGAAATTGGGAAACACTCTCCACATATTTACAGAATGTAATGAGAAAGATGAACTCATCCACTGTTATGGAAGTGAATATTTTTAATTTTAGAATTTTGTGTGGTAATAACATAGTAGACACACAAAAATTGAAATGTAGTTTAATTATAAAGAAATTAAAGCAAAACAGATAAAATAATTAAATAATGTTTCATTGTTATATGCACTTTTAATTTTTAGAAGAATTTATTTCTTCAGAGAGAGAGAGAGAGAAAGAGGACAGGACCTGTTAAGGTCCTTGTGCCACAATCCATCCTCAGCCCAAGTCTGCCAGGATCATAGGTATGCAGGCATATGCCTGGAGTCCACCAGGAGTCCTCAGGACATTAACCAGGAACTTTCTATGTGGCCTCAGCATTGAGGAGCATTGCATAAATATTGTACTACTATTGCTTGCCCACCTGTATATCTCTTTTTTTGGGGAGAGGTTTTTTCTTATTGGGCACGTGTGCTCACCAGAAAGACAGAGACAGACAGAGATTTGATCTTCTGTATGATCTAGTCTGGTTTTAATACTTTCAAGGGAGGTTTTTATTTTCTGTATTACAGCCTTCATCACTAACAGTTCTGTTTGATTCTTTTTTATGATGTGTATTTCCTTTCAGATCATACAAGAACTTCCCCCAGAGGGGATGGCCGTGCCGCAATCCCTTCTCTTCCATTCTCCTCTCAGGATCTTGGGCACACACGCACATGCGCCTGGCATAAGTTCAAGCCACCAGGTCTGGGACTCAAACCACAGTCGACTACATGGGAGTCCTGTGACATAGCCATTACGCTAACTGCTGGTCCCCCTGTATAATATTTCCATAATAAAATGGTCTAATGTGGTCTAATGAATAAGGTTGTCTATAAACACCACTTATACTTCTTTTCTAATGGGGTGGAGCACATCGATAGAAATATACTTGACTATTACTGATTCCACAAATGGTGAAACAAAAATTCACAAAGCATAAATAGTCTGAATCTAAATAAATCATATTCAAGTGAAAGAAATGCACGTGATAGCAATAATGAACCCAGGCTCAAAGCCCAGGGTGAAAAGTAAAGGACAATGTGGTCATACCTATTGGGAGAAAGGAATGAAGAATCAAAAAAGTTTTTTTTTTTGTAGGGAGAGGGTTAAATTGTGTCTTACAGGATGAGAAGAATTTTGTCAAAAGGACAAAAGATAAAGGAGTTGAAGGTATAACATATTGAATATATGCAATTGAATGCAGTTGTATAAAACATGAAAACTGGAAAAAACTACTTAAAGTTCACTATGGCATAAATATTTTCAGGTGTTAATGATGGGTCAGAAATGAAGAATTCAAGAAACATCTTTGAGGCTGAGTCCATGTCCCTTACTGGGCATGGGCAGTCAATAACCCGGTGGTTAAGGCAGCGAGATCCCACATGGTTGACCATGAGGTTCAAGTCCTGGACCCTGCAACATGAAAACACTCTGGTAAAAGTGTGCAAATTCTGGAATGGGGAGAGAGATGCAGAAGAAGGGACTGTGGCATGACCATGCCCCTTGAAGGAATTTTTCCCTCCCTCCTCTGTCTCTTTCTGGAGGTGAGCACGTGCCTCCTAGTAAACAAAGCAAAACACACACACACACCCCCCACACTCTCCAGCCTTCCAAGGAGATATCCCCTATAATCCAGTTAACAAATGCATGCTGGGCAGCCATGGGTCCTCCAGGGGGAAAGATCAACCGGCCCCGATTGGAACTGAAGAAGAAGCTGTTCAAGCGCAGGTGGGTATTGAACCGGGAGTGGCGACTGAGGCACCAGGTGGTGGGGGCTGTGGTAGATCAAGGGCTGATCACGCGCCACCATCTCAAGAAGCGGGTGTCCAGTGCACGTGCCAACATTACTCTGTCAGGAAAAAAACGCAGAAAACTCCTCCAGCAGATTTGGCTTGCCCAGAAAGAGAAGACAGCCATGGAGGTGGAAGCCCTCTCAAAGCCAGCCAGGACTAGTGAACCACAGCCCAAACAGCCAAAGAAGGCCAAAGCCCCTCAGGATGTAGACATGGAGGACCTTGAAGATGAGAGCTGAAATTCATAAAAAATATGAATATAAAAAAGCTGAAAATAATAAAGCAAGCCATCAAGTCTAGGACTCTAACTGTGGTTGGCTATGAGGGAGTCCAGCACCTTAACCGCTGTGCCAACTGCTGGTCCTGAAAAGAATATTTAAAGGGAAAAAAATTAAAAAATCCAGCTAGCTTTTATGAGAAGATTCACAATTCGAGCCAGAAGGACTCAGTGGCGGATGCAGAGGACTTTGGCGAAAGCATTGGCCTTTGTCACTGTCTCCCGATATAATGGTTTCCTGACCTCCCCTGGAGAGGGGTGTGAAGAGAGGGAAGAAGTCTAGAAGAAATATTGGACGGGCGTCTCCGTGGCAGTCAACTCCATTTGTAATAAAGCCCTAGAGCTCGGAAAAAAAAAAAAAAGAAGAAATGCATGCCGACTTCCTTACATCTCTGGGCATGCCAAAGCTTAAGAAGAAATGCATGCCGACTTCCGTACATCTCTGGGCATGCCAAAGCTCTCCTGTCGCATGGAATTTCATACACATTATTCCTCTGTGTGAACTGCTTCCTCCTCAGTACCTTTCTCTGAGCTAACACTTCCTCACATTACTTCCTTTCTCAGTTAAACACTTCACTAGCAAAAACTTTTAACCTTTAACTCCCCCAGAAGATGCACACTCATAGAAGCCAGTATGCATGGAGATTGCAATCATGCTTTTCATTTTATTCATTTTACTTGATTGTCTGGAGATACCTAGGATAGTAACTGTCTTCTTTTCCAACAAGACCTCCACCACTCCCTGCTAAGTGGTAGGCATTCAATAATGTCTTTCTGTTATTGTCATAAATATTATTGATAATGCTACTGTTGTTGCTTAGATCAACGTGGGCTACCTGGAGGAGGGGGTTTCTGTACCATGTTAAAAAAAACCAACAATGAAAACCCTGAATTTTCCATTGTAGGAAAGTAATGACATTAAATGGTTTTCAACATTGGAATGTCAAGATGCTTTGTCTTTTACATATCTCATCTTGGTCACAATATTGAGGATGGTTGGTGATGGGGTAAAAATGGAAAGGAAAGCAAGAGTAAATGCAATAAAAGTAGAACACTATTTCAAAAAATTTAGTAAAAGTATGAAACGAGCCTAACCAATAGAAGAACTAGATTGGGGTAAAGCTAAAATGCAAAGAATCTCAGTGAGGAAGAAATTTCTGCTTCCCTCTAAGATGAAGAAAGAAGTGTGTTAACGTTCCCACTTGAAACAAGTACGAAAAAATGGTATGTGAAAAACAATAGCTGAGAAACCAACCTGAGTGCCTAACAACTGATGATTGAATAAAAAAAGTGGTATTTATAAATGTATATACATACATATGTATACACACACACACAAGTACTATTCAGCCATGCAAAAGGATGAATTCTTGTCATTTGAGGAAAAGTGGATAAACCTAGAGGAAATAAGGCTAAGCGAAATAAGCCAGGCTCTGAAAGACAATTCCATATTTGCTCATTAGCAGAAGCTAAAAGATTTCATTGCATAGAAGCGGAGAGCGTAATACTGGATACTGGAAGGTGGAAAGGGGACAGAGATGAGGGGATGGAGACAACTTGGCTAATAGATACAAGAGTGCATGGAAATAGTGGAGTGAGTTATAGAATATTACAGCACAGTGAAGAATGTTGGTGAAAATTCAAAATGTATTTCATAATAACTAAAGAGCAGATTTAGAATGACAACACAAAGTAATGATAAATCTTAGAGATGGTGGACGTGTTTATTTCCCTGATTCAATCATCATACATTAATACATGCTTTTGAAAAACAACAACAACACTGTACCCCACAAGGATGTACAATGATTATGTGTAAATTATAACAATAAAATGATGAGAAACAATTATTTTCAATATCAAACAACAAAGGCTATTGATCCATAAATTATGAGGGATAAAAAAGTGAGTCCCGTGATTACTCTAGGTTACTGTCTTGAGCGAGTTTCCAGGCCATCATGGAGTAGAGAACACAGAAAAGAGAGGAGTCACAGAGCTGGGGAGAAGAGGTTGAGAATCCAGGAGATGAAGGTGGCTAGAATACCCAGAAAAGCGTCCCATAGAGGAAAGAGCTGCAGGAAGGAGGAAGGAAGTGGGGAGAGACCTAGAAAGCTATAGAAGCTCTCCTTTGAGTGTTCAGCTATCCTAATCATGTACATGAGGAAACAGGGTCAGAAAGAATGATTTTTCCCTTTGTTCAACTTGGCAGAATCCACAATTCATGCAGCATTGGGTAGAGTTCACAGAAGAGTTTTGTTGCAGGAGAGGGAAATAATTTACCCTAGACTACACACTGCTTTGATCCCATCTAGCAATGTTAAAGAGAAGTATCAAATTGTTTCCCTAACATAGCAGTAGTCTAGACTATTGAAAACAATATTTATTTTTAAAAAATATTAATTTAATTTTATTTCTTATTAATGTTTTTAAGTTTGCTATAGGGCAAGTGTGCTCACCAGAGAGACACACACACAAACACATATACACATGCACACACATACAGAGGAAGAGAGAGAGAGAAAATAATAAAGCAAGCCACCAAGTCTAGGACTCTAACTGTGGTTGGCTATGAGGGAGTCCAGCACCTTAACCGCTGTGCCAACTGCTAGTCCTGAAAAGAATATTTAAAGGGAAAAAAATTTAAAAATCCAGCTAGCTTCAATTCACAATGTGTAGAATTAAACAAAATATAACTTAGTGCTATGGCTTGATTGAATATTCGTGTCTTCCTAAAATTCATATGTTGAAATTCTAATCCTCAAAGTGATAGAAAGCATTAATGGATGGGATCTTTGGGAGGACACCAGAGAAATCCTAAATTCCTTATAATCCTATAAGGAATTAGAAGAGACTCCAAAGAAATCTCCTGCCCTCAGCCTGTGAACTAGTACAGTATCTCACAGCTGACTGTGAGTCAGAAAGAGTGCCTTGACCAGACACTGTCTCTGGTGACACCTTGACTTTGGACTTCCCAGACTCGAGAGCTGCGAGAAATAAATTTCTGTTGAACAGCCTGTAGTAGGCTGAATGGACTGATGGAGAAATTGGTTCTAACAAGTGGGAGTGCTGGTATAACCAATACCCAACAATGTGAAAGTGGCTATGGAACTGGCTAATAGAGGCCAAAAAGAGTTTCCAGGTGCATACTAGAAAAAGCCACCATTGGAACTTGAGCTGTGAATAATTACTTTCAGGAATAAGACTAACTATTGAAGATTTTCTGCTGAGACTTCACCCTCCAGACCACCATCTAGAAAGTGGAGAGGCAAAAATTCAGGCCTTCTGAAATGCTTACTGAACTTGAGTTGTGAAAAATTACTTTCAGGAATAAGACTGAATACTAAAGATTTTCAGCTGAAACTTCATCCTCCAGACCCCAATCTAGAAAGTGATAGGGCCCCCTATGTATCCTTCTCTCTGTCTCTTTCTCTCTTTAAATTTTTAATTCTTATTCCTTTTTAAAAATTTTTAAGGTAAAGTATTTTCTTGGCTTTCAGACCCTTCTTTAACTTGCTAATTCTTGCCTTTCCCTCCCTCCCACTAGAAAAGGCAAAAACTCAGGCCTTTTGAGATGCTTATTGAACTTGAGCCATGCCTGCTGCGTGGTTTTCATTTTTTGCTTTTTTTTTAAAAAATATTTTTTTAGTTTGTTGTCTTTTTTTTTTTTTTTCTCTTCCTCTGCCTTCTTTTCCTTTTTCTTTTGCTTTCATCACTTTGCTGCTCAGCCTCCATGCACTGTGTCTGGACAGTTTAAGTGAATTGTAGCCAAACATCTGAATACTATTAGGATCAGAATATTCCTCAGTTCCCACTGAATCTCAGGAACAAAAAGAGAAAAACGGAACAGCAGAGAGATTGTAGATCACCTCCTTCTGCAACCTCTGAATGCTCAGATTGAGTTTCAAGAAATAAGGAAGAAATGTATAACCCATCAGATGACCAGAAATCATCACAGGGGCACAGGCAATATGAGAAACTAAGAAAATACCTCTCCTCCAAGGGAAAATAATAACTCCTCTTCATCCACAGAAAGTTCAATGGAACTCACAGGAATATCCGATAAAGAATTTAGAATATTCATAGTGACAAAGCTAACAAAGATGCAAGAGAAGAGAGACAATGGACTCTGGAAGGTGCAGGAAAAAACAAACAAACAAACAAACAGCTGACAAGTCTCAGGAGGTGAAGAAATTCTTGTATGATCTGAAAGGCAACACACATCATAAAAAAGAATCAAACAGAACTGTTAGAGATGAAGATTGTAATACAAAATAAAAACCTCCCTTGAAAGTATTAAAAGCAAACTAGATCATACAGAAGATCAAATCTCAGAATCGTTGGCCTAGAAAAATTCACCATGAAGACTGAGAAAATAGCCCCTCAAAATGAGAATAATATATGAGAAATACTAGATACTATTAAATGTCCAAACATCTGGATAATTATTATCCTAGAAAGTGAAGAGACTAATAAGGGCATTGATCATCTATTCCATGAAATCCTGCAAGAAAACTTTCCAAACCTAGAGAGGCATTCAAATATCTAGATGCTAGAGATACAAAGAATCACAAATAGAATCAACCCAAGATCTTCTCCAAGACACATTATAGACAGAATTACCAAAACCCAAGACAAATTCAAGATACTAAAATTGGCAAGAGAGAAACATCAAATTATTTACAAAGAATATCCCATCAGGCTAACAGCAGATCTCATCAGAAATAATGCGAGCTAGGAAAGAATGGGAAAGTATATTCAAAGTGTTAAGGGAAAAGCAATTTCAACCAAGGGTACTGTACCTGGCAAGATTATCCTTCATGTGGGAAGAAAAGACAAGAACATTCTCCAATAAACAAAACCTGAAAGAATTTACCAACACCAAACCAGCTCTCCGAGAAGTTTTGAACAGAGTGCTATAGCAGGAAAACTAAAGACAGACACACAGAAATAAGAGCTCAAAAACA